GTCCACAAGTACTCAGATATGAGATATAAACATTCAAGTACCTCCTAAGCTTTACAGACATCATCAAGTAATAGAGAAGAGATCTTAGTGATATAAACATTGTTCTACTGACAAATATTTATCATATCTTTACTGTCCTCTCAAGTGAGTTCTTAGTAGTCATAAACAAGAAGTATATTACTGAGCCTTCCTAGATGCTCTCTTTCTATAGTAAAGATTCTAGCCTAAGTCTTCTCGATATATATTAGAGTCAGCTTCTGCCTAACAGCTCTAGCCTTTCTTAACTATTATTATTGTTAGATATTATCTAATATAAACCTTCAATTTACTTTCTTTTACTACAGTAGTAGTTATAAACATATATTTATTACAAGTACTATACTGTCTCATTATATTTATAATATCATATAACATGCTAGTATGTCATTACTTTTATAACTCTTTTAATACTTTCAAGTAAAATGTCTCATAACTGCTTATAGACTCAACTTATCTTTTTTAAACAACTTATCAGATATCACTAAAGGTCTTATTCTATAAATCCAGTAAATAGCTTCTAGTTAGACAGATAGTAATACCATATACTATATTATAAAGAATCTATTAACTTGTTACATTTAAGTATTTAAACATAAATAACTAAAGTATAGTACATAATATATAGGTCTTGTAATTTGATGAGAGAGGAAGATATTGAAAGTATATTTCTTAGTACATAGTAAAACAAGGTCTTAGTACTTGCTTATAGTGAGATATGTATCTTTAGTTTCAACTATACCTAAATGTTTGTAAATACTATAATGAGGTTTTTTTAGAAACTATTAGTATAAGTATTAATTAAAATAGTAAACTTGATCTACTTATCTGTACTGTGATTGGATATTGGAGTAAACCTCTCCATATTCAAAGAGGTAATTCATGTGTTTACATTGAAGTAGTATACTTAGATTTTGTCTATTTGGTATCTTAATTGAAAATTACTTACTAGAGAAGTAGCAAATACTACTTTCAACATGATAAGAGTGTTTAAAAATCTCAGTACTTAGTATACAGTAGAAAATATTCTCAGAATTATACTATATTTGTACTAGTATTGTTACAGTTTAGTATGTATATAGGTAGATAGAGAGATCTTAGGTTTTGTAATGTTCTTAGTAGATTGGAATATGTTGGGACTAGTTTAAGGCAAACTGGTGATGAGCTAAAGGATAGGATTTCGAAAGTTGTGACGTCTTTTCTTTGTCAGCACACTTGTGCTCTTGGCAAGTTCTGTTTGCTTAAAAGGGTGCTGAGGCACTTTTCCTTGTATTTTCTTTTTTTCTTTTCTTTCCTTAGTTTGTATCCTTTGTATTCTGATAATATAAAAATATCTTCTCTCCAGTCTTGCTCCTGTCTCCTGCCTCTACTCCTGCCTCTACTCCTGCTTCTACTCCTGCCTCTGCTCCTGTCTCTGCTTTCACCTCTGCTTCTGCCCCTGCTCCTGACTCTACTCCTACCTCTGCTCTCACTTCTTTCTCTACTCTCACTAGCTACCTCAGTTCTGGCCTCAACTCTCACCTTTCTCTCCAGTTCTTGTTCTCTCGCGCCAATACTCTTTGGCTACTCCTTAGCCCTGCTATCCCTATTACAAGTATAGCATTATTAATTTAACTCGTAATTGCTATAATAATATAATAAATAAATATAGTATATAAAGACTCAAATACCAGTACAGTATGTAAATATTAAAGTACCTTATTAGTTATTTGAATTAATAAGTGATAGGAAACAGGTCTTAGTAATATAATATGTTATTAAAAATCTTTATAAAATATTTATACTGAAAATATTTTATACTCTTGAGTGGTATTGGTAAGTTATATAGCTAGAAGGCATCTTAGACAAATCACAGCATATAATAAACATTTTAGACTTTAGATAGTTTCTATGTGTTCTAAAGTCAGTTATAATCTAGTATTAAAATAATTTAAACTTATGCTATCTGGTTGTTAGAAATACCGAGATCCGATACCTAGGAACTACTATAAGTAGGATAACCCCACTTGGAATCAGAATCTCTAGTCTCCACCACCCCCTTCCGGCCCCCTTACGGGGCCCATACATTATCACACTTGTCAATCTCAGTTGTGTCCTGTGACTATAATGCTACAGAATTGAAAGTGTAAGAATAACACTATATATGTCGCTGTTGTCTGTCCGACTGGATCCTGTTTGCAGGATATATGAGAGGGGACCTTCTGCTAGGTCTAGAAAGTGGAACGAAGTAAATCTGTCAACTACTTAGAAGGTTACTAGGCTTCAAATATATGACATCTTTGGCATGAGCAGTAGGTAACGGGAAGTTTTTGTACAAAGAGATAGTATTGAATGATAAAGGATCTCAACAAGAAACTAATATATTCACACCCATTCTATGATAATCATAAGAGTCTAGAACTCTGAGAAATACTACTACAGAAGCCAATAGATTTCACAGAATATTACAACTGGGTTCAGGAATACACTAAGATTGCAGGAATAATTCCTAATACTACAATGGCGACTGAAACTCTCTTATTCAGAGCTACCAAGAGTTGCTGATCGAGGGATTATCTATCAATCTAGTAGAATAGCTTCCTGCGAATTAGTAGGAACTTCTCCAGAAAATATCTGTTAGTTGGATAAAGAGTTATAGAGGTTTGAAGTCAGGTGATCTAGGAAGATTGCAATTATGACTATCTTTGCAGATGCAACTCGCAGATGAAACTGATAATTTCATCAATGATGGAGACATTTGGTGCCAACTTAGTTCGACTTGAGAACTAGGCCATAAGTCTAAAAGACTCTGATGATTGGATAATTACTATTGGGGACAGCATGGTTCCTAGTTAGTTATATCGTAATTACTGAAGAGAGTGTGGTGATTTTCAGGGTCTCCAAGTGTTCACACCTTTGAAGAATACCTGACGTTGCAAGTTATAATCAGAGAGGTACATAGTGGTATAATAGATATATGTAGTCTGTGAATACTCAGATGTGGAATATAAATATTGAAGTATCTCACAAGCTTTTAGATATCATCAAGCAACAGAGAAGAGATTTTAACAATATAATATTGTCTTTATGATTCTATTCTACTTTACCTACTTTACTTTACTCTTAGTAGTCATAAACGAAAAGAGTGTAATTCAAGCCGTCCTAGACAATCTCCATCTACAGAAACGAATCTTGATTAGCCTAGACAACTCTGAAGTCTATCAGGTTGTCTCCGCGTAATACTGTTAGTAATAGTTTTCAGAGATTGTTCAACATTCTACTTGTAAGATATAAGTTAGATTATATTAGGACTATTTTTATAATAATTGTTAGTAGGTAGTGTATAATAGAACTTGAAGTCAACTAGTAAAGTATGATAATAGAGTAGAGTAGAAAATAAAAAGTTATAGAACTATGATACTAAGAATATTAAAAATTAACTTACTTTCTCAACTTATTAAATTCTAATTCTATCAATAATTTCTAAATACTTTTTTAGAAGAATCTTTTGAAAGTAATACTCTAGTATAGAAGAAATATCTCATATTACTCCTTAGTTGTCTCAGGCAACAAAGTACTAGTAAGAATGAAATCTCATTCCTCTATGGATAAACTGGTAGGTATTTGTAGCTTCAGAGAATACTGGTGAGACTTTAACTTAAAGCTGTATTGAATGCAGGTAGCAGTCACACAAAGTGGTAGCATTAGGAAACTGGTATTTTTCCATATCTGCTATGATATCAACTAGTTTGGGCTCGAGCTGACATCGTTCTTGTCGCATGATCAATACTATTATCATTCATTAGTCCATGGTATAGTAGTACCGCTGCCGCAAAGGGCATAGAAACACTCTAGACACGACAGAAAAACGTCGGATTTGCCACCCGTTGCCAAGTTTTTTTTTTTTTTTTTTCAAAAGAACACTTTGTAAGTTCACACCCGGATACGCTTTCTCGCGCCGAGCATCCACCTCACGAAGCTCTCTCGGACGCAGTTTGAAGTTGGACCTCCACAAAGCGCAGCTAACCACCCGGCCAATAAGGCGCCAAGCCGAGTGATGTGATTGAAACATTATTATTATCGTAGAGAATGAGTGGTTGCCTCGCATTTTTACAGGTATGGCGTAGGAACTCGTGGAAAAGCACTTCTTCACGCTGCGATTGGTCAAGAGTCCTTAGCACTTGATGAGAAGCTTCAAAAGGAGCTACAGTATTCGTCGTAATAGAGAGGAGAGCAACCTCAACTCGGCCCGCACGAGCAGGTAGGTTAAGGGTTTTTTTTTTTTTTTTTTTGAAAAGGTGTCAAAAACCTTTACGATAACCGGTACCGGTACCGTACTCTTCATCGATTCCTCCTGCGAATTGATTGGACGGATAGCTCTAACTCTAACTACGATAATACGCTTCCACCATGATAAGCCCCCCCACCCAACAATAACTCAACTGTGCGGTCAAAATAACCTCTTCACCTTCACCTTCACCTGCGAAGCACTGCACCAGTTTGCAGTAAATACAGACGATAGAGACGATACATAGCTACCAAATTGTAAAATAAAAAACCCCAATCCACTTCGCCTTCTGCGTCATAATATCATAAACATCCACTACGCTCGCTAAACCCCCCCACCGCGCTAGCTCCTCTTCCTCACTCCTCTTCCTCCTCCTCCTTCCTCCTCTCCTCACGCCTTCCCACTCATCATCATCATCACCAAACATCCACAACACTTGATACTCTACCGCACGCGCATGCGGCGTGGGGGGATTGCCGACCGCTGCGGACGGTACGGTACGATATGTGATATCCGAATAGTTTATCTAGCAAGCCGTCCAAGTCTTCATCGAACAAGCAGGCATTGCTTTTTTTGGGGGGGGAGGGGGGCATTGTGATAAAGGTGTCGTCCCGTGCTCGTTCGTCCATCCATTCTTTTGGAACGAAAGTTAAGAATGTCCATCGAAACTTTGAGGGACCTTCTTTCCTTGTTTGTTTTTTTTCCTTTCTTTTTTTTCCAGCAATCAAGAGGAGTTACTCTGTATCATGTATAATATGTATCCCAATTACTGTGGTACTGCCCTGCCGTATATCATATCGTCTCTATCGCTCTTCTCTTCTCGGCACGCTTTTTTCTTTATCTTCATCTCTCTTCCATTGCATGCATCCATCGGAGACTTACGGTGCGGTAGGATAACCCACGCACCCGACGATATGATAACGTACCGCTGTCGAAGCGCACTTTTTCTGTTCGTGCATACCTGCCTGCATACATGCATACTCGTGCAAAAACGCCCACCCCACATATCGAGGATACGGTGCGAGATGATATGATATGATATGTATTTTACGCCGATACAAACAAGGGAATGAATAAAAGAACGAAACAAAACAAGGTAGACTAAAGTTAATAGCCTCAGCCCAACCCGGTCCAGCGCCCCACCATGCTTCTTAACCCAACCTAGCAAGCAGCCACAAGCAACACAGAAATAACCTACAGTACCGGTGTGGCCTTTTTTTATATAAAAATACAAGAAAAAGATGAACGGGCTCGTAATTTAATGTACATGGACAGATCAGATGTCATCAAGAGGAAATGGAAAAAATGGGAAGAGAAAGAAAAAAGTGACCATCCAGAAGAGGAGAAACGGGATGGAATTGAGACCGGAATGGAACGCACCCAATTGGGCAGTCAGAGAGAGAGAGAGAGAGAGACAGAGGTCAGCAAAAGGCAAGACAATGCAAATTATCACGAAGAAAAAGGAAAAGAGAAGAAATATATAGAAATTTCTTTCCCACCTCGCTGCCGCATATGATATCTTCCGAACTCCGATTCCGCTTCCCCCTCCCCCGCTCCGGCCACTGGCAGCCTCATTATCTGAATCCCTCTGGAGTATCAGGAGATTCAACCTCCGGGTCAGCTCGGCCCTCTGCAAAAACCCTCTCCACCACTGACTTCTCAAAGAGGTCAAGTATATACCGCCGAACGTGCTGCCGATATCGGAACGACTCAATAAGCGTCATCACTCGTCGGAAGAGATCTGGGGATTGGAATTGCATCACGTGACTAGCTTTGAGCCTATTATTACCTGCATTAGTTACCTCTCCTTTGCCTTTGTATGTATCACTGGTCACAAAAAAAAAAAAAACTTGTCCGGATCCCTACCGATTCAATTCCTTGGTGGAACCGCTCTCGAGGATATGGTTGTTTAGGTTCGCGATTGCCGTCAATATCTTTGCATCCACCGGGTCATCTCCGATCACCGAGGAAAGTGGTGATGGTCTATTTATCTGGTTCGTTTCGTCTCCTGTATGGTACCAGGGTGCTACCTGTGTGTAGGATAAAATGAAATGAAAGAAGTTAGTTATATTATATCACTACTCACTGACTCCTGTGTGCGTGTGGCGATACTATGGTAGTAGTTCGCTAAGGCTTTGGTTTCTGCAAATACGGAACTTACGGAAAGAAGACGTCCAAGCTTCAAAGGGATACAGAACCCTAGCGATTCTCCCATGGTGGACGTTGTGCCATCCCATCCGTACTCAAGAAGGATCTCTAGACCCTGCATAGTCCTGGATATCAAGCCAAGAACAAAAAACGCTGTACCCTTAAGCGTCAATACCTGGGATTCCTCCGCGATCTTGACAATAGACTCCACTATGTCGGCTTCTTCCAAGAATGGCGCCCCGAAAGGCATTGAACCAATATTTCCAACCGCCCAAAGGCATCCCTTGACTTTGGTAACGATCTCTGCATCCTCCTCCTCTTGACCATGCTCTCGGATATACCATGCAAAATCGTTAAAGTGGCCCTTTTCTCTTAGCAAGATGCATCCTTCGCTTGTCCTTGCCAACTCACGATAGAAATGTGGTGGCACTATCCCCATCATGTCTCGGTCAATCGTGTTGATATCGCCAGACCGTTTCTTCAGCGGCTCCTCATCAGCAAACGCCCTAGCCAGGGATGCCTCAACTGTTAGAACATATGAATCATTCCTGCCCTGTCGAGATGTCAACACTTGCATAGACTAAAATGCGGTTTTCAGCGTATCTCACGTGAAACCAATCGTCCATTTCCCGATTAATATAATCAAGCTCATTAAGGTAATGGTACCCAACAGACGTCGACAGGAATCGTAACAGCAGCGGGGCGCCAATCTCGCCAAGATGGTCCAGCGCAGGTCGACACTTCACCACATACTCTAGACTGTGTGTAATATTGCATGCTTCCTCGAGGATTTTCACCGCTGTTTCACAAACTTCCACGTCGGGATCATAGAGTTGAGTAATGAGAAGTCGTATGGCCCATTCGGCGGTCTCGTTTGTCTTGGAATCTATAGGAGTCTGTGAAGACTGCGCGGTTGAGATAAGACTGCGGAGGTGGCTGGTAGCAAATAATCGAACATTCTACGACTCTTTAGCAAGATCTCACTGAAAAGCACCGGTCGGGCAGAACCCACCTTAAGGTTCATTGTCAATGCTTTGGACAAAATGATGCGGGGATGCCCTTCCCTATCGTGTTCATGAGATCGCGATTCATAAATGAACAGCCGCTTAGATCTGGATCTTGAATAGACTTACAAAGTGAAATCCATGTTGGACACGAATAGCTCCAGAAGATCTGGCCTATCAAGAGAATCACTAATGTGATACAGCATGTTGAACATGCGCCAACGCTCCATCATTCTGTACATATGTCAGAACCTTGAACTCCAACAAGCCCAACTTTGAATACATACGCAAGGCCTTTCGGATCACTACTTAGCACGCCCAACATGGCAAAGTATCCACAACTGAGGGTACCGATCAATCTGGAGGTAGAAAATAGAGGCTCGGGCGATGTTATTCCGCTCATCTATCAAAAATGTTAACTTACATCCAAGACCCCTTCTAATAGACGAAAACTCACTCGGTCCAGTTGAGCCAGGCATTCAGCAATTTGTCGAAGTATTTTATTCTCACTCAGATATCGAACACCCTCGGGAGTTTGGAGGAGAGTGTGGAATAAAGCACATCCTGTCCTGACATATTTCTGGTTGGGCTTGGTGTTCTTAACGTCCGAAAATTTGTACTTAAAAGGCCGATAGAAGGACATCAATCTCTTCATAAATTTTGTCCCCTTTATCGCTTCATCAAGTCTTTTGGGATTAAGTAACGGGCCTTGAATCATCTCATTGAGAGCATCCCAATTCCACTTTGTATGGCTTTTTGCGTTCAAAACCCCACTATCCACTATCAGACCAGAAAAATGGCGATCATCGATCGCCATATATATCTTCAACTTTGCTTGCTCAACTTGTCTCTGCCCTCGCTTTTCATCGTCAACAGACACACGCTGTGGTGCTTGTGTAGCGGCTAGAGATCGGTGCAATGTCCGGTTGAGGCTATCTATCTGGTATACTGCAGCTGATGCGGCAAACCTCGTTGGAACACGGAAGTTTGCTGCTGATATGAAGAGCTCCGGGAGGAGCTGTAAGCGGGCGCTGTAAGTGCTCGGTAGTAGACGACTTGCGAGCTTGAGAATCTCTCCAAGCAAAAGTGTTGTTTTCCGTACAATAGCTGGATCACTATTATCTTCTACCAGCGCCATTAAAGACTGCGTGAACGGTTAGAAAGGGCTGCCATGACAGAAAGTTTTTGGTATACCCTCAACAAGTCAGCCTCAAAGAATACTGCCAGAAGCAAGGTCGTGAAATGCTCTACTAGATTTCCTTGGTATGCATCATCTGCTCTTGGCGGTTTCGGAGCATCAGATTCGGACTTGAGGTTTGTTACTCTCCCATAAGCTTTTTTTTTGGGGGGGGGGGAGAACTATCAGCAAGAGTACAAGAAATGTGACAGTTTGGGGGGCACAAAATGTACATACTTGTAAGCCTACGTCCAGCAAGAAAGCTAGACGACCAGGAAGGAGGTTTTATCCGAAATATATCGAAGAATAATTCCAATATAATATCCTAAAACTCGGTATTAAGCTAATGAGGAAAGGCCAACGGGGCTCTGTCTTGCTTACCCGAACACTTGAAGATGGTATAGATAAGGCCGAGACTAAAGATTTTGGGGTTCGGAGGTCATACATGGACAATACCAAAAGACCTATCGCGGCGATTAGAAAGAAAAACTGTGTACACCAAAAGTTCCCAAGAGATTGTTACCTGGCCACGATTTCAGCATGCAACTAATGACTTTTGCACTTGATCTCAGTCTTTCCTCTGGCGCAGGAGATTTTTCCGAGTATGAGTCTGTAAAAACAGAGAACACAATCTAGCGTCAACTAGTCAGTAAAACCAAGGGCCTAATTGAAGCAAAAAAAAAAGATCTTACCTCCAAGTCGTTGCCAGGTCGGATATATTTTCTGGTTGCTGGCAAATCTAATAAGTATAAGAACGCCAAAGAAATAGTATCAGATAATTCGTAAGGTCCTTCAGACAGGACCTGGGTCAGAACTCTGACGCCTCCTGCCGATACAACGAGTGACGGATTGAGAATCACTAAATTGTTAGCCCGAAAAAAAAAAAAAAGGAGTAATGTGGAGCAAAAACCAAACAGACAGGTTATACGAACAGATCTCTGCTAACGTCTCCATAGAGACACCTCGTAACCTATCATCAACCTGTTCCGCGCACGCAACAATCGCCCTGACGACCCCTCGTGATATCTCTTGTACGCCACCAGGAATCTCAATAAACGCACGTACAAACTTTAACGCCTGTTCACGTTCAACGTTGGCCCTGGACTCCTTAACCAAAGAACTGTTACAATTAGTTTAGAACACAAACAAAAAAGATGGACCGCAAGCAGATCTTACATGATGGTAATTTCGTCAGTGTATAAGGCTCTAATGGTCTTAAGAGACTGCAGGTCGGTCATTGCATATCTTGCAATACGATATCCAGCCGCCACAACTTCCTTGTTTTCATTGAGAAGCATATTTTGTACCCGGCTCCCAAAATTATTCCAAGCTAACTCATACTTCAGGTTAGGATGCCGTTTAAACAATGCCACCAAACTATTAGCCTTCTCAACGTAGTACTCTGGCCTCCGACCCACCTCCTCCAAATCTTTTAATAACTCAGTAAGTGATAGTGTTGGTGATTCGCTTCCAGGGTCCCATTCTGGGGCACCAGAGATAGCAAGTCCGTTGTTAGCAGCTGTCGGTCTTATCGGCTCTCCTTTGAACTTGTTTGCTGCTCTTGTTGCTCCTGTGACCTCCCTAGGCTTTGTGATGGCTTCGATACGGTTCATGAGCTGCGATATCTCTTGGTTCCTTGCATTGTACTCCTTCTCAGCTTGATTTCTCGCTTGCTTTGCTTCCTTGGGTTTCTTCGTATCTAACACCTGTAAAAGATTCTCGGCTCCTTCCTTATACTTGATCGCTTTGTTAAGTTGATCGGTGAGCTCTTCCACTAACCTTTCGGAAGACATTGGGCTTGGGGGGTTCGACATTTCCTCGACAAAAGCGTTCGGTGTCATGGCCACAATGGTATTCGTACTTCGTAAGCTTGCGCTAAAGCTCCCGGGGCCGTTCAGCGTAGAATTCACAATGGTAGTGCCACTGCCCCCCCCAAAGCTCGAGCCCGCACGGTTACCATTGGGCTGGCGTAAATGTAGTAGGCCATCTCGATCTCCTCCGCTTGCCCCACGAGCCCTAGGCCCTGGTGACGAGGCACCCGACACAGACTTTGGGGAAGTTGTCAAGGCGTTGGACATGGCGTGAACTCCCACGAGCCGGACCTATTTGGGACAACAGTCAGATCGAAAGTTGAGCATGGGGCGTTTATTTCTCTGCTGTTTAGAACGCAAAATAGAGATGATGTAGTAGGGAGATTTTCGGAGCTAGATGAGTGACCCAAGAAACGGGCGGTAAATTCGAATGAGGCTTCCTGTGGCGGGCAAAATCTATGCAGCAGGGGTACAGGCCCGCAACCAAGAAACCCGGCAGTAGAAAAGCTTGAAACGAAAAGGCGGGGTTGATTGTTGAGCGGGCAAGTTCTGATGGGGGGTTATCGCGGGGGGTTTGGATGTGGAGTGTTGAGTTGAGGGCTGTCTCAGCGCGCAACGAACCACGGTCGTCAGGGATCCCGCTGGTTATTTCGACCCTTCGACCACTCCTAATCATATCGCTGGTAACACAAAGGGTTTCCATTCAATTCACCCATTATCACCCGACTTCCATCAATTCTGGCCCATTCTTCAATATGGCACGCAACAGCTATCGCTACAATATTTGAGAGTCCCCCTAGGTGTGTATAAACATTTTCACCGTAATAGGCGTGTATCGTTATCGACAAATTCCGAGATATCACCTTCACCGGGAGCAACAGGATTCTAGCAATCCAAGAGATTGGCAGATATTATCCGATATACTCACACCAACATACCAGTACTCCACACTGATAGCGACAGACAAGTGCATACACACATCGGGCTAGACGCCCCTACAACAAAAGTTGTATTTGTATCGTACTGCAGGATATCTCGCGAGATTCCATCAGGACGGCCACCAGCAGAAACCAAGTCATTTTGCCATCGATGAGCGGCGATCCCCGTATTCTATACCTTTACGAATATAACAAGGGGGTGCACGCCAACACTACAGGCTGTATCAGTGTAAGATTCTAAGATGTCTTTCCTTATAATATTCTTACACATATAATATGCCCACAGAATACCTGGGGTGTGGACGGCTAACCCGGCCCAGACACTAGGTACAGTTGCAACTAAAAAGTTCTCTTCAGGCCCAGCAACAGTACCACATAAAAATTTAAAGTGATTAACACAATCCTATAGATAGCAACTCGATAGGTTGGGCAGTCAAGCATGCTCTGCGCCCTCTATTTCCCTCACCCTATGTTCTACTTCTGCACTCAACACCATTGACATCTGGTGAAAACTCCTCACCCTTTATAATCCTCCTCACCCTGTGCCTAAGGACTTTCCTCCTTGCCTAGGCTATGGACCCCACTGCTACATCCCGCACTGGTACTGTGGTTACCCATCAAAGTATCCCCTTCCATCCTCCCTTCCGTTTGTCTTCAACAGCCCTAATTCTCCCTATTCAGGCCCACTTGGCCACTCTCATTTCAACTACCAGGAGACTCCTGGAATGGCCTCCCAAACACCTTCCTTCCCTCTTTCACAAAGATCTCACCAACCTTTTCACTGGGAAATACTACCTCCTTCCCCTCATATGATCCCTTATGTATAGCCTGTTCTCCCTCTCCAGTACCATCACTGAACTTGCCATGCAAGTTTATTAGCTCTACTCCCATGGTGCCAACACAGTTTCCCCTCTTAGTAGACTGAGTGATGCTACTAATATTTCAGCGAGCTCTGTAGCCTGTTAAGCGGAGACAACTTGATAGACTTCAAGATTGTCTAGGCCAATTGAGATTCATTTTTGTAGACGGAGATTGTCTAGGAAGGCTCAGACTTGGCTCGTTTCATTTATGACTACTAGGAGTGAAGTAGAATAGGTAAAGTAGGGTAGAATCGTAAAAACAATATTATATTGTTAAGGTCTCTTCTCCATTACTTGATGATGTTTAAAGCTTGGAAGGCACTTCGATATTTATATTCCGTATTTTAGCGTTCTCGGACTACATCTATTTATCATACAACTATGTACTTCTTCAATCGTTATTTACGACATCGAGTTTTCTTCTAAGGTGCGAACATCTGTAGACCCTGAAAACCATCACACCCTCTTCGGTAATTATGATATTTCTTCTTAAGAAGTGTGCTGTTCCCAATAGTAATATCCCGATTAGCAGAGACTTTAGACTTATAGCCTAGTTCTTAAGTCGAACTGAATTGGCTCCAATTGTCTTCGCCATTGATAAAATGATCAGTTTTATCCACAGCTATATCTGCAAAGATGGTCGTCATTACAACCATCATAGGTCATCTGACTCTGATCCTTTGTAACTCCATACCCAACAGATAGATTTTCTTTGAATGACTTCCTATTAACTCGCAGGAAGCTATTCCACAAGATTGGTAATTAATCCCTCGGTTGGCAACCCTTGGTTGCTCTCTGGGTAGTAGGTTTCAGTAACCATTATAGTATTGAGAATCATCCCATAGCTATAACGTGTTCCGAAACCCAGTTGCAATACTCCATGAAGTTCATTGGCTTCTTTGATAGTGTCTTTTGAAGTTCTAGACTCTTCTGGTGGATGTAAATGTATTGGTCTCTAGTAGAGATCCTTTACCATTTGATACCATCTCTTTGTGCGAAATCGTCCCGTTACTTATGGCCCAAGCCAAAGGTGTCATATCTTTGAAGCCAAGTAACTCTCTGAGTAGTTGACAGAATTACTCCGTTCCACTTCTCAGGCCTAGCCGAAGGTCCCCTCTCATATATCCTGTGAACAGGATCCGGTCGGATGGACAGCGACGAGGTATATGGTGTTATTCTAACACCTTCAATTCTGTGGTAATATAATCACAGGACGCAACTGAGATTAATATATATAATGACGTGCAGGCCCCGTAAGGGAGCCGGAGGGGGGTGTTGGAGACCAGAGATTCCGATTCCAAGTGGGGTTACCCTACTTAGGGTGGTTCCTAGGTATCGGGTTCTGGTATTCCTAACATTCTGGGTACTCAGTTGAATACGACCATGATATCTCCAGCTATAATACCATAGCAAGTAGGTATAATGGGAATCCTGCTGTCTTTTATGGCTAAGTATTCCAGGACCTAGGAAGCTCAGTAATGGAGAGATGGGAAATATCCTAACTCCTCTAAGTTCCTTCCCGGCATCCCCAATTCTAATAGGCCTACTTCTCAGCCCCAGAAGTCCTCTTACTCAGTGATCCTAAGTGGCCAGTCTGGCGATGCATTTGAAAAGCCTAAGCCAGTCTGGCTTGGATTATATTCAGCCACCAAAGCCCACAGGTGCCCAGGTGATGGCCCAGTTGAGGGCCTTAGCAGGTAAGGATCAGGCCTGCAGATGCTCAAGCAAAGCCATCAAATGTCTAAAAAAAACCTTCAAATACTCAGGCAAAGCCTTCAAGTGCCTAAATAAATATTAAGAGTACTAGCATCTGATATCTCAGAACCACCCTAAGTAGGATAATCCCATTCAGAATTAGAATCTCTGATCTTTAACACCACCCTCTAGTCCCCTTATGGGACCTACATGTTATTATACATATTAATCATAGTTGGCTCCGGTGATTATAATGCCACCGAATTGAAGGTGTCAGAATAACGCCATATACATTGCTACTGTCTGTCCAACTAGATCCTGTTTGCAGGATATATATAAGGGGACCTTTTCCAAGGTCTAAAAAGTGGAGCAGAGTAAATTGGTCAACTACCCAGACAGTTACTAGACTTCAAAGATGGAACACATTTGGGTTATGCTATAAGTAACGGAACATTTTTGTACAAAGATATAGTAGTGAATATTAGAGAATTTTTATGAAAACTCAATATATTCATATTTACCCCACAATAGTTAGAAGAGTTTAGAACTCATAGGAAACACTATCAAAAAAGCCAATGTGCTTTGTAGAGTATTACAACTAGGTTAAGGAATAGATCATGGTTGTTGAAATTATTACCAATACTATATGATGATCAAAGACCAGTTACCTACAGCTATTCGCCATAAGTGTTGTTGGAAACCTTAGTCAGCATTCTCGTCAGAAATACCAGATTGCAACCAGTAATTGTGACCATTCAACACAACACCTCTACTAAAATTTCCCTTCCTCAATTCCACTATGGTTTACTACTCTGGATATACAAAACCTGCTTCAAGAAATAAGCTCCCTCCAAAGACCTCTAGGTGAGAAATGATCAATATTGAAAAAGGCATAATTATTACCTTGGCTGGCCCTGGACAATAATTAAAAGCTTCCTAGCTCAAGCATGCACATGGCAATCTCGGGATACTATTTCTCACCCTGGCCACACTTGCCTTCTTAGCCAGCAATAGTCTCACACTATTGTTCAAGCAGCTATGTTAAATCAAAAAATGATAAGTTTGAACTTCCAGGATATATTCACACTTGACATATCACTTTCTACAAATAACAAAATAAAATTCAGAGTTTCATACTATACTGATTGCCTGTACCACTATTAGTACTTCAAGACTGGTTGATAGTATATGATTCCAGTTAATTAACTTGTAATAGTGAATAGAGTTCTCAGAAAAGCCAATATCAAAAAATGGCTAGCTAAATCAATACCCAAACTCTAACCTGAGTATGTTGGTAAGAGATATAAATGAGCAACTGCCTATAAGAATTGTGTTAGGCAGAGGAAACCAGCATAGATTCAGAATTGCTTAGGCCAACCAAGATTTATTTTTGTAGACAGAGATTATCTGGAGAGACTTAAAATATACTTGTTTTGTTTATGACTACTAAGAGTAAAGTAAAGTAGAACAGAATTGTAATAACAATATTATATTGTTAAAATCTCTTCTCTGATGCTTGATGATTTCTAAAAGCTTGGAAGGCACTTCAATATTTATATTGCATGTCTGAGTATTTATGGACTACATTTATCTATTATACAAACAATATACCTCTCTAGTTACAACTTGTAATGTCAGGTATTTTTTAAAGGTGTAAACACCTGGAGACCATAAAAATTACCACACACTCTTCAGTAATTACTATTTTGTTAATTTAGAAACAATGGTATTCCTAATAGTAATTATCCGATCATCAGACTCTTTAGACTTATGGCCTAGTTCTCAAGTGAAACTGAGTTAGCCCTAATTGTCTCTCTTATCAATGAAAAGAACAGTTGTATCTGTAGATTGTATCTGCAGAGGTAGTCGTAAATTCAATCTTCCTAGGTCGTCGACTTTAAACCTCTATAACTTCGGATCCAACTAACAGATATCTTCCAAATAACTTTCTATTAATTTATAGGTAGTCATTTTACTGGAATAGTAGATAATCCCTTAGTTAGAAACTCTAAGAAGTCATATATGCAACCTTCTTAGATTACCGACTTGGAAACTCAATATCTCCTGATC